GTCAAATTTTACTTAGTAGAAGAATTAAATGATTCGTCGTTAGTAAGTATGAAAAATAGCTTATCGTAAAAGAGCCTTGAGAATAAGGTATGTACGATAGGTATGCAAAAGGTACGTAAAAGAGAGTAGATAACTAGTAAGAAAGATAACGAAGAATAAGAGAATGCATATACTCTTTCTTGGACGGCTACTTCCTCGTGGCCAGTTGTCGGACTATGATGCGCGTTTGAATGTAAGAGAAGTCGGATGAAGCTGTGGGAGGGTGGAGGAGTCCAAGTGGGATGGAGTAGAGTGGAACGGACGGGTACGGAGGGGGTAAAAAAGAAAAGTCCACTCTTGGCGTGGAGCGGTCCAGAATGGACTCGAGCTATTCGGGACCACCCCGAGTGCCAGGGGTCCAGCCTCGCTCGCGGCAATCAGGTGCCGTTGGAATGCGACCGTCCAAGAAAAACAAAACAAATTTTTATGCCCTCGTCTGCTCCCCGCCCCCTCTTAAGGCCCTCCTATACGGCTCTCCTTCGTTCTCTTCCTCCTCCCCGCCTCTGATCAGAGAAACATTAGGCATTACTTAAGCCTCCTCTGTGGCCTCTGGAGCCGTTAGAGGAAGAAAGCGAATGGGAAAGAGTATGTTCTCTCTTCTCTTTCCTTTTTCTTCCTTCTCTTTTCTTCGTTCCTCCTCTTCCATGACCCTTCTTCTCTCTTAACTCGAAGGGTAAGATAGTCTCTAACTGTAGCCGCTTTGACGGTAAAAAAAAAGGACGATTTCACGCTGCGAATTGTCTACGGCTCGTTTTGGAGATCCTCGTTTACGAGAATTGCCCTTATCGATCTTTAAAACAAGCCTTCCTCTTTGAAATAAGCTTTGTCGGTATAACTAAAAAAGAAAACTGACCCATATATCAAGATTCTTCCGTTCGAACGGAATTTTGCGGGAAATTCATTTCTTTTCATGTGACTTTGTCGACTTAACGTGACTCATTGAGAAACGTTCGGATAGATTCTTTCTAAGAGAATTTTTATAACGTTCGTAAATGACCTGCCTTTAGCTGTCCCCTTATCTTTAACGACAGAAGCTTCCATAGTTTAGTAGATAAGGAGTGGAGACTAATTGCCTCTAAACGAACCCATCGTAAATTTACGTTCCACGCGGTGACCGTCGTTGAAACATTACGGCTTAATGAAAGTGCTTTTCTCGATTCGCAGATCATCACGTTCCTGGGGTGAGGCACGAACGCGGAAAAAGGCTTTGGTTCGATGTCTCGGATGTTCCACCTGGAGAACACATAATTGGAGCTGAATTAAGGCTTTATCGAAGCATAGACGTGAAAAATCGAAGGAATCGTGGATCTTACATGATCACGGCATATCGGGTTCTAAGAAGTGAAGATGGGTAAGCCTTAAGATTGAACAGTTTTTCGTTGAGATCTCTCTCTCTCTCTCTCTCTCTCTCTCTATATATATATATATATATATATATATATATATGTATATATATATATATTTATATATATATGTATATATATATATGTATGTATATATATATATATATATTTATATATATATATATGTATATATATATATGTATATATATATATGTATATATATATATATATATATTTATATATATATATATGTATATATATATATACATATATGTATATGTATATGTATATATATATGTGTGTATACATGTGTGTATACATATATATGTATGTCTCTCTCTTTTTCTATCCATCTATCTACCATGTGGACTCTCGAAATTAATACGATGAAAGGTGGCGAATTAAAAGTTTCTTCTTCGCAGGTTATAAGTCGCAACTTATCTTGTCGATTATGAACGAAGGTGCATTTCTTAGTTATTCATATTTCAAATGTCAAAGAAATCGAGAGAAGAAGCGTTTTATCTTTACCTATTTCTTATTTTCTCACTCTTTCTGTCTCTTTCTGTGACTTTTGTTTTTTCTCAATCTGTCTTTTCTATCACTCTCATAATTTTATCTAAAGAGATAATTGATCTCCAAGAGAGAAGCAAGACCAATTTCGTTTGAGCAAAGGGAATATTGGTGGTTTTTGACATCGTCATCGTAGTCCTAATTAGGCGGTCTTCAAGTCAGCGAAAAAATGTCAGGTATTTTTGTTCTACCTGTGAGAAAGCATCGAGGACCCATTCATCTCTTTCTCTTTTCTTTTTTCTTTTTCTTCCGTCTTTCTGGTTGTCTGATTCATACCCATGGTTGCGTCTAAGGTATGCCATATAGTGATGACGATAGTAGATGGTTGTTATTTTTCAAGTACGAAAGATCGCACGTCTTTCCTTATCAAATGGACCATTTCCAGCTTTCTCGATGTAAGGATCTCGGCAAGGACGATACGGGTGGTAGGGAGATCGAGGAGGAATAAAATCTGATATGGCAGGGTACGCGCGCGACGAAGAAGAACGAGCATTTAACGCATGGAAGAGCGGTCGGTCGATTAATTCGGTCCTTCCGAGAGGAAGACCGAGCTTCCAGCGTGAATGGCGACGGCGTGTCTATGCCCGTCACTGTCCGTCATTGGTACCTCCGCAGACTTTGGTACTACGACCTGACCGATATACAGGCCCCGACAGGAAACGCTATTCCGTAAATTGAGGTAAATTAGCCGTGGAGACGACGGACTCCGGGCAAGGAGTTAAGAATGCGAGTTACTCGCTGTGCCTACGCAGTTAGACGCACGCAGTTCCTCTGTCTCCACCTCCACCTCCTACTCTTTCCTCTCCTTCTTCGTTTCCCTCGATGCGTCACGCATCCTTTTCTTCCTATTTCTTTTCCTTCATCTACTTGAGGCTTCTTTCGAGACAACTTGGCGACTCAGCTTTCTTATGTGCGCTCAGGTTTCTATAAATGTTCTGTCAGATACAAGACGCAACCACGTGCTCCGCTCTGCCACTCTTCGACAAGTGTTTGTAAAAAATTTGTGAGCCGACCGTATATATAGCTCTGTCTCTCTCTCTCTCTCTCTCTATGTATATATATATGTACATATATATATATATATATATATATATATATATATATATATATATATATATATATATAATCGGCAGGTCTACCTTCTTCGAGAGTCGACGTTCCCACAATCTTTTTCTCCGCATGATTCATTGTGCTTCGTGAAGCGGCCAAGCATGCACCAATGCGAAGTAATTTACATTAATTTCAACTTTTAATGGTTTTTTCATTTCGACAATTTGCCAAACGATGATGTTATAGATATGATGATTGCAACGAGTGAATGAGCTAGGTATGCGAGACGATGCAAATTCGTTTACGTAAGAATCTAATGCTTTTCAGCCGATAGATCCGATCGATTTGCGCTCACGCGAGAGGAATGTTATTTGAAACGCAATAATTATCGTGGGAAGAAACGAACGTGACGAGATAATTCATTATCGGTATATACATGTATGTCTCTACATACCGATAGTTATATATACGTATATAGGTATATATTACGTACGAAAAAATTATTATGTCAACTCGTCCGATGGCGTTCGTTTCAACGGGAAAAACTAGAAATGTTTCCTACTCGCATAAGACATGATTAGATGTATTGACGATGCTGTAACGATAAGTAGATTTTTCTACGTATCGGTGCGATTTGACACGCACTTATTGTTAGATTATGAGTAACGCATGTTTCTCTCTGTCTCCGTCTATTCGTTTGTCTTTCCCTCATTCTCTTTCTCACTCTCTATCTATCTCTCTTTCTAATTATGCGTAGGCACGTTAATTATCTCTTCAAGGATCTAAATACGACGCAAAGCGTGCTTCTTTGTAGTCGATGACAAGGCAGATCTTGCATTGGTGATTTGTTAAAGACAGCAAACGATTGGCTATATAGCTTTATACTTTAGTATATTAATATAATATTATATATTTTTAGGTCACGGGAATTACAATATGTTGATGCGATAAACACGACAATAGGAAGAGAAGGATGGTTGACATTAAACGTCAGCGAACCTCTTTCACATTGGGTGAATAACCCCAATGGAAATCGAGGATTGTATCTTTCGGTTCATCCTGCCGATCGTTCTGGTGAGTGGACAGTTATTTTTATTATAAGCTCGATTATTTTTTCAGGCATAATCGATCGATCATACTTTTTTTTTCTGTTTATTGTATTTGTACGACAAACGAGTTTTCAAATTGTAGGCATGAACGACATTGTTGTAATAAAAATGAAAATGTTAGAAAAAAATTGCTTCAAATAGATTACAAAGATGAAGGCTACTTACTAAACGATATTGCCTACGAAAACGGTGAGGGGGCGGGGGATAAGCCCACGTGATTACACGTAAATTGTCGTAATGCGAAGTTCACGCGTGCTTAAGCATGGATATGCTTTTACACATGCACGGATGCGCGTGCTTACAGCATGCATTGAGCAACAGCTCATGGCTAATAAACGCTTTGGGGTCAGAAGTTCGACGCGGTGAATTCCGGATCGTTCCTATACACCTGACTCGAGGAAGACTGTATGCTATAGACGCGTATAAGTATACACCTGTTACAAGCTCTCACTTCCATTCTGGAAAGAGTTTCTCGCTCTCTCTCTCTCTCTCTCTCTCTCTCTCTTTCTCACTCTCTTCCTCTCTCCTTCCTCCGCCTCCTCCTCTCATTTCTCTCACGCATAATTATTAAGACCTAACAGTAACTAGCCAAATAGTCATACTTTTTCGTATCATTTTCTAAAGTAATCAGAATCGATTGAGAAAGAAATTCTTATTGATTTCTTTAGTGAAATTTCTTCAATAAAAGTTCTTAATCTAAGAAAATATTGAAAAAGCACACGTTGCTTCCTTTTTCCGTCATTCGCGCAAATACAATTCATCAGCATGATTTTATAAGTAATTTAAAGTTCTTTACAAATGGTTGCTGAGAGACCTGGCGTCTGCTTGTCTTCCCATGTCGGTGAGATGGTCTCTCTCCAGTTTAAGATGTAGAAGAAAAAAAGGCAGA